TCTTGAAATGTCGTTGCCGACACCGAAAATGAATCTTTTCATCGACCTTAACCTTGAGCATCAGAATCACTGAATTCGAATACTACCCGTAATGTTGCTTAATTCTTTCGTTCGTTCGTTGACAGAAGGTGACCTATCTGATTACTGCTAACATCGATTAAAATAAATTTTGTCACAAATTCTCAAAGCCTTTTATATGTTATATTCTTACGACACTTTTTGTTTCTTGGGTTGTAGATGCGACGAAAAAGTCGTATAAGGTATTCTATTTCATTCACCCTAAGACGACAGGTATGAAAACAACTTTAGTTAGAACCCTCTATGAATGGTTAAGGATTTGCAATGTTCCTCTCGAAAAAATCTTCGTTATATATCGAATGACAAAACCACGTAACCGATATGATGTACGGCGCATGAACGGTTTAATAAAAATGGCTAAAGCTAAAGGAGATTAGCAAATCAAATATCACAGCACTAGCACCGTACTGTCACATAACCGAAATTACCGGAAGAACAAATAACGCTGATGAATGGAAACTGTTGGACGACTGTTTAGAAACAACATTTAGATGAATGGCTAAGAGATCCGCATCGCGTCTTTAACTGAGAAGGGAGCTGAAAATTTTGTACAACTGGCTTTGGTGAATGGAGGAGGAGGCACTTCGAAGTGGTCGATCACGATGATGGGATGGCTGTGTGGATGCTGTTGGCCATCGAGTCGATTTCTGCGAGCAACTGCAACGTGTCCACATCCAGCAAATCATTTTCGTCACCCTGGACGCCGCCGGCGATGCGGACAGCTCTCCTGCGTATTGGCGATGACGACCAGAAAGACCGGCTATTCGTGTTTTGAGCAAATAAATCGCTTTCCATGAAGCTCAGCACTGTCTCTTCGTGCTCCCACTCCAGGTCAGATGAGGACTGAAGCGAGTCCGGGTATGAGGCACCCAGCGACTGAAAATGACAGTTTCGAAATCTTGCCAAAATACTGCAATCCTTCTTTTGAGCATCGTTCGGATAGACTTTACAGTAACAATCTTCGTCGAGTTCGCTGAATAAGTTATACAGTAAATTAACTAATATGATATGCAGGTATTGAAGCAAATTGCAGTAAACAGCGAGCTTTTAAAAAAAAGTAAAAAGTTACACATTACGGGCAGGAATTTAGCACGTAACGATCATAACACAGAAAGAAATCAACTTTGGAGCAAAAAGTATACCCTCCACTGGCTGCTACATTACTTTAGTAACCAAAATATTCATCTTATGGCGCAGGAACAACCTTTGCTTTACAAGCTACCTTTAAATATTTGATACACTGACGATAAATTAACAATAAAACACTGCATGTTCCGATGTAGCTACTACATTGCAGTTTCCAATTCCGCGGCTAATCAGCATTCAGTTTCGGATGTCGGATTTATTTATTGTAAGCGCACTGCCCTTTGCCTTAAGTCGTATAGGGGGACCATTTTAGCAGGCCATGGCTCCATGGTATATGAGCGCCTCCAGTGCAGGGATACAAGGGCGCATATCTAAGTTAGGCTCAATAAGAGTGCATTTGGGCAACAACAAAATCTGCCACTATCCGTAGACAAACATATATTGAAAACACACTCCCAGAGGTAGCTACCCCATAGTAGTAACGGATAATTAGCTATTTAAATTTAAATAACATTATAGCCACCTCAAAAGAAACTTTGCTGCATCAACTGAGAATTAGCAGGAATGAAAACAATGAACCTCTGACCTAAACAATAAGTGGTCCGTAGTCAGGAAAATATTTCCGAGGAATTAACTACTATTGATAAATACAGAATTTACGTAGACTTCCTTCATAATTAAATAATAAGGAATCAGTGAATGCGCGACCACTGTATCCTAAGCAAGATCCGCAGCGACCTTAGAACTGAAGGACGCGAACTACATATGGAGTAGACGAAGCCCGGCGCAATCATTAATATTGGGATGAAAAGCTTCGAGTTATACTAGGATATAGTGGCTGGTATGGTACAAGCTAAAATTAAGGTGACAACGTAAACGTGGATCAGTAGTAGTGAATGTACAATATTAAATAACGTAACGAAGGAAGGAAATTGGAATATTGGTCTTCTTTACTTTCATGACAGGGTCATTTACGATGTCTTTGTTTTCATTAAGTTAATGGTGAAGCGCTGATTTCTATTTCTATCTATTAGAAATAAATGCCTAGTTTTAATGGCAAAGTCGAGAGTAGCTGTGCGAAGGCATACTGTGTAGCCTCTTGTTTCTTCCCACAGAGTATTTGATCTTATTTATCAGCTTCAGATGAAGAAAGAAAAATGAATATACCGGGGCTCGAATCTGGGACGTCTCAGCTTTGAGTTCGACGCTCTACCAACTAAACAATGTGGTCACTAACTTCTGAGTTCGTCGTCACCAACTGCGAACTTCTATCCTTAGGTTTCAATGGCAT